TGCACTAATTCAGCCACAGTATTGGTCTGAAAGTACGTATATGACTCAGACTTTGCAAATAAGAATCTTTCCTTGAGAGTTTTCTCACTGGAATTGGAGTAAAAAAAATATCATCTCTTTGATCTTAAGAATGTATGATTGTGAACTTGACTCTCTTGTCTATCTTGAGAAGTCAGTCTGAGAATGTGAGGTAATCTGCAAAGGAAGAAGACATGGAAGTCAGAAATGTGGCAGACACAGGTATTCAGTTAACTAGCTCTAGCTGTCCCAAAGCAGTGCAAAATCAGCTTTTTCTTCAGTTGAGCTCCAGTTACTTAAAATCAAAGATCCCAGACTACCATGTCACAGAGGAGATCAACTTGAGCTAGACTGCTACAGAAAAGTCCAATATGCCCCATGTTGATAGGTGAAAGGACATTTCAGGAATGTTTGTGATCTAAAAGGACACAATGTGTGACTGGGGAACAGTAAGTAGACATACAGGTCTCAAATGTAAGTTGTCTGCAGGGGACACCTGCTTTATCTATTGTTTTGCTTTGTTTTTATCCAACTACTTTTCAAAAAATACAGTGTAGGACTGTATAAAGAGATGAACAACATCAAATGTAGTATGAATCACTATCATTTACAGAAGTTTTCTACCAGCTATGTACTTTTTTGAAGTGCTCTACATAAAGCAGCTGTTTTCAAACTGTGATAAGCAGAGCCCTACACATTGCCTGGAGTGATGGGCTTGGGGGAGTACAGGTACAAGCATGAACATAAAGGAGGCAACAAATCTGTGGTCTCCTGCCCCAGGCCCATCTTTAAATAAAGCATCCCCTCTCCCTGCTTGTTCAGTAAATGGGCTTCCACATATGATTGTTTCTGAAGAAAGGTTATGCTGCTAAAATGTATATAAGAACCATTGATATACATCTTCTCCATACTCACAATAAAGCTATGAGATATATTACCCCTGTTTTATACTTGAAGGAACTAGGGCATAAAAATATTAAGGAACATGCTCAAGATGACCTAGCCAATAAAAGGCAGAGGCAGTATTTGGACTCTTGCTTTCTTTGCCTGGCTCTAGAGCCCCATTACACTATTCCCAGTATCCCCCTACATCTCCTGCTAGGACAGTGACCTGCTTACACACCCTCATATTTGCCTGTTTGTTCTCAAAATCTAAACAATCAAGGACTAATTACAAAGCTGTAGTCTGATAGATAGTCGGACTACCTGTAATTGACTGGATGTAATAAGGAAACATACCCCAGAGCAGTCGTGGAACACCACTCAAGTGGGAAGGAGAAACATCTTCTGTAAGGTTTGAGTTCTTACTGAAGAATCCAGAGGAAGGTCTAAGGGAAGAAGCAATCAGTTCTGGATCAGTTGCTGCTTCTAGGATGAGGGCAGGAGTATCAGGAATTAACTAGGGTTGGGAGCCGTCTCAAGGGGAGAGTAGTTTAGCAATTGGGTGTTCCGAGTAAAAGATGGGAAGGGTAAAGCAGGTATGGAGTAGCATTGGTAACACACCACTAGCCACTCAATGAAGGGGTCATTTGTGCATTTGCCAGCTGCTGCATGACCTTGGCAGTGTCTCCATTTAAGCTCAAGCTGGCATTATCTGTGTCTGTCACACTACTAACCTGAATAAAGGCAGGTGACTTTGCTCTTTTTCCCTCTGAGCTGACTTTTTAACTCTCAATCCCAAACAGACTTTTACTCTTATGTTTCTCTAAACTTGCTGCTATCCCAGCAGGAGTTTTATTGAATTGGACAGATTTCAACAGCAAACACCCGCTGACGTGCACCTAACACACCTAATATATATGATACATACACCTAGGCATGGGGATCAATCATCTTATCAAAACGCTTTCTTCCCTTAGCCCAGGGTTATAAGGCTTTGAAGGAATCCAAAGTAACATCCTATCAAGACAATTTAGAGAACCCCTCGGGCTGAGCAGTAAAATAAGGCCTTTCTGATACTGCAGATTTTTAATATCATCTCTCTGATAAGAGATGCAGGTCATAGTGGTTGCCTTTGTCTTTAAACCCCCATGTCCTACCCCTTCACTTTCTCTCCCACCTTGTGTTCTGCAATCAGAAAAGGTTCAGGGCTTTTAACTGGAAGAATTATTCATATTATAACTTTATGTTTCAAGAACTCACTATATGCTGGGCTTGGTATTAGACAACACAGCTGAAAATATGATTTGGATATATTCCCTGTCCTGAAGTTGTTCACAATCTAGAGATATTAACAGGTGTGATCATAAACATGACACCACAAGGAGAAAATTCCAAGTATTAATAGTAAACATTAGCAATTTGGATTGGACCATGGCATCTAAACTTAAGCATCAGAAAAGAGATCTGTATTAAAAACTGACTAGAGTGGCTGTCTATTTAGCATAAAACCTGGAGAGATTGTTAAGCACTGCTTAACTTTTAATTAAATTTCTCTTCTCAATATATAACTCCCTCTAGCAGGAATCCTTCCTGAGGGAAAAATAAATCTGGGCAGTTTAGGTTAAAAAATATCAAGAAATCCAATGGAAGTGACATAGTATTCTAAATTGGCCTAAATTGGTTCTTATAGGCAAAAGTAATTAACCAGACTGATGACTTTTTCATGTTTGATATTTTCATGTTTGATATTTTTTTGATATTTATCAAACTTTTTCATGTTTGATATTCAGTAGCTATGTGAAAAGAATATATGTTTACTACATACCATGTTAAGTACTGAAATTATGCTTGATATACATTTTGTTAGATGGAAAACCAATATATGTTTAAAACCCCTCAAGAATATAGGGATCCCACATTTAAAATGACTTTAAAATAGTAATTCAGTCAGGTCTCTAATTTGTGTTTGCAATGTGGAAGAGAATTGAAGATGAAGACCACAGTTACATAAGCTTGAGCCATTAAAGAAATTAAATATAACACACATAAACATGAAGGGTTTATTTTAAATAAATCAAATATCCTGATGTTGAAGCCACAAATTATGAAATTGTGTTTGGTTTTCATACTAACACCAAAACTTCAAAATGGCATCCACAATTGACTAACCTTCTTTCCTTGGCCACAGTTTGTACTTAGCCAACCCACATATTCAGGCAAATACATGAATGTGTACCCATCACTGATGTAATTCGTGGTCAAAGACAGAGCATTGCAGAGACCCTGCAGTCATTCTCAGACAAAGGTCTTCAGGAAAGATCATTTAAATTAGGTCAAACATTGAAAGCTAATGTTTTTCTGTGTGATTAAGGTTTATTATTGGCCATATTATTGAATAAAATAATATGTGGGCTTTGGCATAGTTTTAAAATATCTGTGTAGAAAAATAGAAGGAAAAATGCTACAAGAATAAAGACACTTTTAAACAGCTTAGGTGCTCTGCTTTCCCGTATGTCATTTGTTTTCCTCCTGTGCCCTTGCCTTGACATTTTAAGTGCAAGATGTAGTGTCCTAATGCTTTTCTAGAACTGGTACCTTTCCAAAGCTATCTGTAGAAAGTGGCAGAGAGGTAGAAAGAGCATGGACTTTGTAGCCAGGCCAATCTGAGATCTAATCCTGGCTCTTCCTTCTACTGGCCACTGGCCTTGAACAAGTCATTTTACCTGAATCTGAGTTACATAATCTATAAAGTCAGGAAAATAAGATCTGCCATCATAATCTATTGTATAAATGTCATAATACATATAAATGGCCAGTGTGGTGTCTGTCTTCTGGCTGTAGAACAGTCAATAGCAGCTATCATGGTCATTATTTGTGTCATCATTGCTACCGATAATGCCATTATGCATTATCATAAAGAGGCTATAAGCAGCTACTCGAGGGCTGTTTATATAGTGCTTGCTGTTCAGCCCTCACTTTTACCTTCACTGTCCTGCTCATTTCTAAGAACCCCTTTATCAGTGTCTGATAATGTTTTCTCTCTTATATTTTCCATGCAGCACTGAATGCTGCTAACAGGGCAATAGCGGAATGCAGGTAGACACAATCATCTTCCACCTTACAGGGAGTATGACTGTGCTTTCAATGACCAAATTCGAGAGAAATGGCCTTGAATCTTCCTAAACGTAAGAGGAATATTCCGAAGAAAGGTCTATTTAGGCAACTGTTAATATAGTAGATAACAATGATTTAAAGTTTCAAATTTAGAGAATACACTTCCAAAAGTGAACACAAATCTATTATATTAACAAGCTGTTGAATGTATTTTTTGCTCATTGAAGAGAGCACCTAATAATTGTGCAGAGTTGAAAGGAAGAGTGTACCTTCTTGGTCCCACTTTTCAGCCCTTTCTCAGGAATTCCAGTGAAGCTGGACTTGGACCCATAAAATTACCTGACCACAGGAAGAGCCCTTCTAGGTGGCATTCAAGACGTAATTTAAGTCTGTAGAATATTACATCATTTTTATTCTTCATTTACATAACATATCTCAGGGAAATTGTTCTTTAGATTAAAATTTGAATAGATTATTTATTATTATCAAAAATACATTTCTAAAATCATTGCGTATAAGCCCCTAAATGTTTTAAAACCATTAGGATATGAAATCATGTAGGACCTTCCAGTATACCTATGATGTCATTACCCCATGTAACATTATTAGCATTTTTGCTGCATCTCTTTATCTTATTTTTTCACAGCTTACTTATGATTTTTCACTTATTTATACATGTTTCCTGACCTAGTGCCTTCTGGTAGGAGTTTGGGACTGCTGGATCACAGGAAAAACAGAAACATTTGTGATCTTATTATCTTAAATGATTTATATGAACTTTTGGTAAAAACAGTCCACACAGTCTCACACAAAATCCTTGATCAAACATTTTTGTTTTTCTTAAGTCACTTAAGACTAAGTGAAGCTAGTATTTTTTTAAAGGAACCACTTGAGTTTCATGGTTACATAATGACCATAGCAGGGTAAATGAGCAACAGTGACTGTTATCAATGAAATAATATGCACTTTTTTGGTTTACATTACAGGTGCATCCATCCTATCACCATGTCTTCTTGGCTTCCTGCTGCCTGCCCTTGGCATCCTTGTGTACTTGGAATTCTGAATGTGGCATGACAACTGCTGCTCCCAGCCCAGCTCAGAGGACACCCTCCATCTCTGTGATGACTACAATTCCTTCCAAGTCCTGCAACTCCATCCTAAGCCAAATAAATTATACTTTAACAAACTATCCAACTGATTTACAGCATATGTTATGACTGAGGCATTCAGGAACCCCTTCATCCAAAAGAATAAACTTTTAAATGGATATAAAATGATTTTTAACTTGTTCCAATATGCCTTATAAACCACTTAACCTAATTCTGTGACAGTTGCATGATTTAATCCAATGGGACAATTTACAGTGTTCAATTCAATACCATAGGCTGTAGAGTGAAAGTAAAAATCACCATACACAGGTGCTTTAAATTTAATAACAAGTTGTGAAATATAATAGAGGTTGAAACGTTGATCGTACGTGGTAAATGTAAGAGTAATACAGTCTCTTGTACTATTCTCTCTGTTTTGGGTCCTGCATATTTTTGAATGGCCCCTATCATTCATGGCATTTTGAGTTTTCTTTAAAAAAAAAAGTATAACTAAAGCATTTAACATAATTTCCAATACCAAAACATTCTACTGAATGAGTTGGATGATTTTGAATATTGAAAACCAAATTCTAGAACTTATTTTCAGTATTCTTATTTTGGAAGTAAGTAATTTTCTAAATATTTGGTTTTCAGAATCAGTAATACTTTTCAGTTAGTTTTTTAATCATAAAATTAAAATACTACATGAAGTTTTTTTTTTTACTTTTGTATTCTACTCTGACATTATTTTATGTTTTTCTTATCACCAATTTCAAACCTCAAAAAATCACAGCTCTTGTGTTAGAGTATCATCATGTTGCTGTATTTATTCATACGTGAAATGATGAATTTTGAGAAGTAGAGTGCTTCCATTTTTTAATTGAGATGTGACAGTCTCTACACAGCTAGGAATAAATGACAGTTAAGTGAATATCAGAATTATCTAGTATTCTAGTGACTTTTTGTGCTTCATTCTAAGTAAAACCTCTCTTTATTAAAGGTATGGAATCAAGAAATCACCTGTAGCTTGGAAAAACTACAGTATTCCCTATTTTTTTAAATTTAGTTTTAAACTCATTTCCTGCTTCAATGCAATACCGAAAACTGGCTATGAATACCAAATCAAGATGTTGCTAATGGTACTTTGAAGAGTATGCAAAACTGGAAGGCCGGGAGGAGACAAATAACGTGTCTGTCCAGTGGTCTCCCAAGTGTTGGTGCTTTAGGTTTTTATAAGTTGTGAAAAGGAAGATGCACATTTCTTCATTCTCCATGGTGTGCACGGAAATGTGTTTGAGTGTGGATGTGAAAGAAATCGAGTAATAAAGGATTAGCTGGCTTATGAAATAGTGCAATGTCTGATGCTTCAAGAGGTATAATCCTATTTTATTAGCACAACCTTGCTAGCTAATTAGAGATAGAGTTTATCTTTTTAGAAAGGATACCTTATAGGTTCATAAAAAAAATATTTACAGGAAGCAAAATAGATCTATTACTATTTTACCCCCCTTTCTTTAATTTGTATAATTTTTGTACTATATATCTATGTATAAATGTTTAGAGTTTTCATTATGCCAATACCAATAAATATGTCATTAGTTTACATTTAACTCTTTGTTATAAAATTAAACTTTTTAAAAATAAGTGAAAAGGATGATTCTCCAGTGGAAGTATGTCAACAGTCTTGAGATCGTTACCAGATTTCATAAAATAATTATTTGAAAAAAAAAAATCTCTTCATACTTTAGGGAAACGAATACTCTGTGAGCCTTCTGTACAAATGTTTGTGTTTTCACTGTTACACTTTGGGGTTTTCCTTTTGCAATGTGACCCATGTTGGGCATTTTTATATAGTCAACAACTAAATCTTTTGCCAAATGCATGCTTGCCTTTTATTTTCTAATGTATGGTAATAAAGAGCAAAACTGGTTTTGCATGAAATGGTTCTGAAAGGTAAGAAGAAAACAGACTTTGGAGGTTGTTTGTTTAATTTTAAATTTGTGGCAGAGATAAGGTAGATTAAAATCCCTCATACACTGATAACTCAAGCTTTTCATTTCCTCATACAAGTGTACAAATTTGACTGGGACCATCAGTTTTAAACTGTTGTCAAACTAACTAATGTATCATCTGCTTTAAGACGCAAGATTCTTAATTAAACTTTATATAGATATAGATACATCTGTTGTTTCTTTGTATTTCAAGGAAAGGTGATAGTAGTTTTATTTGATACTGATAAATATTGAATTGATTTTTTTAGTTATTTTTTATCATTTTTTCAATGGAGTAGTATAGGACTGTGCTTTGTCCTTTTTATGAATGAAAACAAATTATAAAGAAATAAATGTCTTACTGTTACCCAAGAAATAACAATTGTCCTTTCAATTTACCTGAAGTTTAAAATTCATTTTTAAAGGGTTTTCATTAAAAGTTTAATAGCATGGGAAAAAATATTACATGTTAAACAACAATTCAATGTTTGAAGCATTCTACAAAAAATATACAAACAAACAGAGCTACACACATACACAGACACAGGCATTATTACAGTGAAATACTCTCGCCTGGGAGATAACTTCAGTTTATGGAGAGGTCAGTGCATATCACTCAATCTAATGCTGGACACTAAAGCAAGCTGCTAGATGCTGAAAAAATAAGAGACTAGATAAACCCTGAATGAACTGATACTCTTAATAGAGGAATTTACATAAAAGCATAACTCTACAGACAGGAATCTTGTTCAGGTAAAGCTTTCTCTGAGTCCTGAGCCAGACTGAGCCCCAAATTCTGAATGCCAGAGCTTCCTGTGTTTCTGGCTTACAATCCTCCCCTGTGTTCTGATTGTGATTTCTCATTGGCATTCTGACCTCCTTTCCTGTTTCATGAAGCTTGCTTCCACCCTGCATCCTGGTTTCCCTTTTAGACCCTGCCTCTGTTTCTTGACCTTAAGGATTATATTACTTCCATTCTAATATTTTGCTTTTGGTATTTGACCTTGGATTGACCCCATCTCTAATTCCCCAGGCTTTGGGAGATCAAAGCGTCTTTCTTTGAGAGCATTTTCTGTGTTAGCTGTTCTCAAACCTGGTCGTCCATCAGGATGACCTGGAGAATTTGAAAAAATAAATAAATTCCTTAGGTGTTAGTTCAGACTTACCAAATCAGAATCTGGGCAGTGAGGCATAGGGATCTTTCTAGGTTGTTCAGGAGTGTCTGAAAAGGAGCCAGGTTTGAGAATCACAGATTTTCATCATTATTACAAGGTAGATTAACTGATGTTTTAAACTTAATCAACAATATTAACATCATGATACATAATTTAAATATCTCTTAGAAAAAAATCCATTCTCTTGGTTTGTCTAAAATGCTAATTTGTTCATTTGCTCTCTTTTGCTTCTACGTCTTAAGTATCAAAAGGCTATATACTTTCTGTCTATTAAAAATATCCCCTAATTTGTTTGTGTCTAAAATCCAAGCAGCAGACTGAAATGCACTTCAGAAGATTTTTTTCTCTAGAGGAATGTGGATTTTACTTTTTTCTTTCTTTTTTCTTCAAGTAACTTGGAAAGTTAATTAAATTTTAATACCTAATTTCCTGAGTCTATAATCTTCTGGAGATACTTAATAAAAAGATTGATGAAAGGTGCCCCCTCCCCAAGTTGAACATTTTTTTTCCTTCACAATAGAAACATGGCAGTTTTGAATGAGTTGACTTCAAAATTAGTTGATGGGGAGGCCAAAATTAGGTTTGTACATTGTTTATCATATTTTAAAAACAGGTTTCACTTTCAGTTACTAGTAATAGATTTGATGCTTGGGAAAATATACCAGTACCCATGATGCTATTACAGTTTGGCTCTAGAATTCAGTCAGGCTCATCCTAAGGCAAAACTGTAAAGTGAAAGAACTTGGTCTTCATCTATCCTATCTCCTCAGTCTGGCTCTTTTGCTTGATGGAAGCTGCCCTAAAAGCAATCCCCTATACCTTCATACCTTCTTGTATTATTTTTGTAGGGCTGCTACAACAAATAACCACAAAGTGAGTACTTCCAATAACAGAAATCTATCTCTTACAGTTCTGGAAGCTGGAAGTCAGAAATCAAGGTGTCATCAAGGTTGGTTCTCTGAGGGACAGTCTGTCTGTTCCATGCCTCTCTTGTAGCTTCTTGTGGTTGCAGGCAATTCTTGGTGTTTCTTGGTTTGCAGCTGCATGTCTCCAATCTCTGCTTCTATTGTCATGTGACATTCTCCCTTTGTATCTTTGTGTCTAAATTTCTCTCTTCTCATAAGAACACCAGTCACTGGATTAGGGCCCACCCTAATCCAGTCTGACATCATCTTAACTTGATTACATCTGCAAAGACTTTATTTCCAAATAGATTCCAGCTGGATATAAATCTTGGTAGAATATTATTCAACCCAGTATACATTCTTTTCATCTTTTTAAAACCTGTATATGCTCCACTCACACTAATGAGGATATGACTGAAAAGCTGCTCTAAGCATGCTTTCATAAAACATTTATGTTGATAACAGTATGGATGGATTTCAAATGCATTGTGCTAAATGAAAAGAAGCCAGATTCAAAAGGCTGTGTGATTCCATTTATATGACATTCTGAAAAGACAAAACTCTAGGGACAGAGAACAAGTCAGTGGTTATCAAGCATTAAGAGTAGGAGGAGGGGGCTTCCCTGGTGGCACAGTGGTTGAGAGTCCGCCTGCTGATGCAGGGACACAGGTTCGCCTGATCCGGGAAGATCCCACATGCCGCAGAGTGGCTGGGCCTGTGAGCCATGGCTGCTGAGCCTGCGCATCCAGAGCCTGTGCTCTGCAACGGGAGAGGCCACAACAGTGAGAGACCTGTGTACTGCAAAAAAAAATAATTTCTGCCCTTGAAATTTTTCCACTTTGTTTCTTGACTAGGTAACCAACTTGTCTTGTCATTTATCATTTATATTGTTACCTGTTTTTTA